TACCAGTCAACTTCCTTTTGCGGACACGCAGGATGGATGGATGGATGGATGGATGGATGGATGGATGGATGTGGCAGTACCCTTTGGATTGGGCGGCGGCTAACGCCACCTAGCCGTAATACTTAGTGAGCTAACCATTACATTTATTTTTTTTCCCTTTAAATAATGAAGTTGAGTATTCGTACTTCGCAGTGAAGGGTTTAATTTTCACTCGTGCCTTGACTTTAGCCACCAATCAGATAACCTCCTTCTAGTTAAGTCTACCCGCTTAAAGTCTGTTTTGCCCTCGCTGTCCCTAAATCCCAGTGCATTTACGATTTTGCGATTTACCTGTATAGCGTGCAGTTTGCGGACACGCAGCGCCACCTGTCGAGGCAGTTTTGAGTAGTGAAAAGGCCGACTCGCTTTCACAGTTTGCTGCGAAAGCAGGTGCAACTACAGCGCACGAAACGATGATTGAGCGAACTATTATATGTATTTGTGCATTGAAGACTCGGAAAAAGAGCTACAAATGTCTCCACTTGTAGACGTCAAACTCTGCCCAGGCGGCGCTGTGAAAAATGCGGCCACCATCGCCCCCATCGACGCGCCGGCCTTAAATGGGTAGTGCAAATCGTTCCATCCGCACATACATAGGCCCTTCTTTTTCGTTGGTATTGAGGCGCGGTTTCCTGAAAAACAAGAACCTGGCAAGCCTCTTCCTTCAATACAACCTCGCTTCAGAAAAGTAGGAAGCTCATCGAAACAAAATGCGGATAGAATAAATACGGCAGATGTTTCAGTTATTTTGGCGTACTGCAACTGGCACTTCATGTGCAAGCGAGCATCGCATGACATCGAGTTCGAGGCAAGCACTCCGACTTTCTTTCTATAACGCCTAAATGCGTAAACATGGGCATACGCATAATGCCAAAGCGATGAAGCGCATGCACGAGCAATCTATCTTATGATCAATGGTACGAAGCTTGCTTTATCTTGCATGAACAGCCCTGGTGATTTTCGCTTTTGCAGTTACATTCGCCATGCATCTCGCGATTGCTGTGCCTTGAATTGTTTTATTAGGCATGCTCGTATGTTCTGTTGATGTTTTTCGTTCGTTTGTATATACCGCGAATGGGGATACAAGCGTGCCCACTTTCTCAGTGTACAGCGAAAGGCGAAATTGCGGAGACCAGCGGTAAGAAAAAGACTGATTGTGGTCGTGATAATTTTGCGATTTACCTGTATAGCGTGCATGTTGGCATTTCCTAGTTGAAGCCGGAACTTAAAGCCTTCAAAACCCTCAGGCGTAATTCTGTGCTACTTCAGATCATTGGTGGTTGTGGCGTGCGCGATGTTTATTGCGCGCGTCACCTGCCTCCTGCTGCACGGCGCGCACCACTGCCACGGGCTCTGTTAAGCTTCATAATCGAAGTCGCCACAGTTATCCGTCGCAGCTACTCAAATCAACAACAGGGAGACCTACGTAATGACACTTTTTCGTGCGAACGGCTGTGAAGAACGCGGGCCCTTACGCAACTTTTTCGCAAGGGCCCGTATTCAGCGCTGTCACCGTTCTGCTTTACAAAAGCTGCCAAAATAAGTAAAACTGAAGTCCTTTACGTCCATAGCAATTCACAACGCAACAATAGCGTCGACTGGTGTCCGTTTTCTTGCAGCGCGGAGCTGTTGCGTCTGCTCTTGTTTTCGCCGTCGTTCTGGCGAGTGAACCAGGAAGCACTTCACGGCGGTTTGGTGACGCGTCCGACTAGCCGAGACAAATTTGTAGCTTTTTATTGTAAGTGTTTAATGCGCAAGTACACCTAAATTTGAGCTCAGTTGTTGTGTCATACGCTGTAGTTGCTCCTGGTTACGCAGCAAACTATGCAAGGGAGTCGGGCTTGGCACTACCCAAAACTGCGTCGACAGGTGGCGCTGCTTGAACACGAAACTCCAGAGTCTGACGTCTATTGCTGGGAGAGATCGTGCTTCCAGAGGTTTTTCCGCTCCGCGGAGCGCTGAGCTGTTGCAGAAGTTGCGTCTTTTCCTTTCCTCACACGAAACTCTATGCCACAACCTCTCTCTCTCTCCGCACAGCAGCGCTCCTTCGTATAGCTGAAAAGGCTACCACGCTGCTGGCAAGCTTGTATGTGGTGAAAAAAAAAATATTTTTGCACTTTTTTAAAACTTCGCGCTCATTTGAAAATATCGGACCAAAATGTACGAGAGGCAAAGTCCTTGCTTGGGCATATATATTCTCAAATTGCTTTTTTTTGTAATGCTGAGCATTTTATAGTCACACCCAGTCACAAATATCGAGTCTGCAGTGCCATCGACCCCCCACTGAATTATTTTTACGTCATTCCAACTGTATATTATAGTGGCTGACGACACAGATAACACGTTTTTTAGCACTGGAGGGGCGATCCTGTATAATTTCTTTTCACTGTTCTGCCACGACAATCATCCACACTTATCCGCCCGTTTGAATAACGGATTCTGTGCGCACCCATCGTGAGTGAAGGTACCTAATTCAGTTTCGTCCGGAATGACGAAGGTAAACGCGCTGCAGAAGAGAATAAGCTGCAGATTGCAGAGATAATCAGGAGAACAAATTATGCATAACGA